GGCTTATTCGGACCTGATGTGGGGGGCCTCCTGGAACTTGTTCGGGGCTCCTCGGGCTGGCGGTCTCGGAGGTCCTGTTGGGGTGGAGGACTCGAAAGATTGGTTTGGCCCTCTTGGGCAGTCCTGTGGGCGTTTGGGGCATCTTGGGGCCATCTGGGCCGGTTGTGGTCCCTCTTGCAGGCTGCTTGGGCCGCATTGGGGCGATATTGGGGGCCTGTGGATTGTATTGGACCGTCGGAAGCCCGAAGAGGCGAGAACTCTTGTGTATTTTATGCATGTAGTAGCAGTAGCAGTAGCAGTAGCAGTAGCAGTAGTAGTAGTAGTAGTAGTCGTAGTCGTAGTCGTAGTCGTAGTCGTAGTCGTAGTCGTAGTCGTAGTCGTAGTCGTAGTCGTAGTCGTCGTAGTCGTCGTAGTCGTAGTCGTAGTCGTAGTCGTAGTCGTAGTCGTAGTCGTAGTCGTAGTAGTAGTAGTAGTAGTAGTAGTAGTAGTAGTAGTAGTAGTAGTAGTAGTCGTAGTAGTAGTAGTAGTAGTAGTAGTAGTAGTAGTAGTAGTAGTAGTAGTCGTAGTAGTCGTAGTAGTAGTAGTAGTCGTAGTAGTAGTAGTAGTAGTAGTAGTAGTCGTAGTACTCGTAGTAGTCGTAGTAGTCGTAGTAGTCGTAGTAGTCGTAGTAGTAGTAGTAGTAGTAGTAGTAGTAGTAGTCGTAGTAGTAGTAGCAGCAGTAGTAGTAGTAGTAGTAGTAGTAGTAGTAGAAGTAGTAGTAGCAGCAGTCGTAGAGTCGTAGTGTTCGTAGTAGTAGTAGCAGTAGTAGTAGTAGTAGTAGTAGTAGCAGTAGTAGTAGTAGTAGTGGTTGTAGTTTTAGTAGTAGTCGTCGTAGTCGTAGTCGTAGTCGTAGTCGTAGTCGTAGTAGTCGTAGTAGTCGTAGTAGCAGCAGCAGCAGCAGCAGTATTAGTAGTAGTAGTAGTAGACGTAGTAGTAGTAGTCGTAGTCGTAGTAGTAGTAGTCGTAGTAGTAGTAGTAGTAGTAGTAGCAGCAGCAGCGGCAGCAGCAGCAACAGTACTAGTAGTAGTAGCAGTAGCAGTATATATTATGTATGAATTGATTTGCTTGTTTACCTACCAGTTCTGTTTTTTGTGTATATATATATGTTTACCTAGGGAGCATGAGTGATGTTGGCTTCTCGTGGCCCTCTTGTGGGGCGTCTTGGAGCACTTATTGGGGCGAGTTTGGGGCCTCTTGGGCGGCCTGGAGGCCATGTTGGGGTTCTTTGGGTCATCTTTCGCGACTCGAAGCCCTCTTTGGCCATGTGTGGGGCCTCACGGGGCCTCCTGGTCAGACTTGTCGTCTGCCGGCCTCTTGGGATCCTTGGGATCTTGTTTTGATGTTGATTGGTTGGCTGGCTGGCAACTGGGCTGATTGGCTTCTTGTCTAAATTGATGGTTGGCGGTTGGCTTGGGGGTTTGGGCTGTTTGTTGGTTGGTTGCGCAAGCCATTTGGGGCCTTGGGAGCGCGACTCCATGTTAGTTTACGAGGGTTCGCCGCTTCGGAGTCGCGCACCCCTAGCTTTTTTGTGGGGATTCGTGCCTCGGGCCGAATTTTATGAAGCGACGGGGGGGCGAACCGCGCCCACCGAACACATCACAATACGGACGAATGTTAGTGTTTTGCCCTGTAGGGGAGTCACCGCGGGGTGCGTTCGTTGCCTCGGGAACGCGAACGCGCAGCGCTTTACAAGGCAGGGTGGCCTCGGGAGCCCGTCCCTGCTGCCACTCAGCGGGGTTGTGGTACCGCAGGCGCGCGAAAGGCGAAAGGTTGTGGCTTCGGGAACGCGCATGCGACGTACTTAGCGATGGACTCTTACCCTGGGGCAGTGAATCCGTAATGGTCCCCAGAAGGCCTGTGACATCGGGTGAGCGAGCGCGCAGCATGTTGAATGGGGTTATGGCTTCGGAAGCGTGGACCTGCGGCAATTCGCAAGGGATTGTGACCTCAGGGGTGCAATCTCGCTGTACGTTGCCAAGGTTTGTGGCATCGGTGACGCGAATCTGCTTTAGTTCACGTGTCCCAGGACAGAGAGCCGAATTCTAAGGAAACGCCGGGGGAGCTGGACGGCACCCCCCGAACACACATCCCTGGAGAGTCCGCTGCTCTGGACAGGGAGGTAGCGCTTAGCCCCCTTGGGGTGGGTTCGTGGCCTCGGGGCCGCGACATTGTTGAAGCGCGCTGTCGTGTCGGAGGGACTGTGGCCTTGCAGGCTCGAATCGGTAGAAGTCTAGAAGGTATTGTGGCCTCGAGAGGGCGAACCAGGAGGAATTTACAAGAGATAGATCATGGCCCCAGGGCACGCCGGGGAGTTCAGATCGTGCGGTTATGGGGTTGGAGCTGCAAGTTTTTCGGGCTCCCCCCCTCGGCCCCCCCTCGCGAGGACTTCAATCACTACAGCATCGGAACTCAACAAAAGATCCACATACGATTCCAGCGTGGGAGCTGGAAATTGTGCGGGAACAGGACAGCCTAGTCCTCGCAGCCTGAGGGCCCCAAATGAGGCGGCAGGTATACGTTGGCCATCGTGAGCCCCAAACATCAACTTATTACACAGTGGATGTGTGAAGCATTTGGAGCAAGCTGCGTGGTACAAGCTACGGTGCAAATGTGTGTCGAGCAAGTTATGTGAGGTGCAAGCTCTGTAGTGTACGCTATGTGTTAAACCTCTATGGTGCAAGTTGTGCAGCCGCCCAGCGCACGAGGCGCCCACGAGGCAGCTACAGGGCACACACGGGTGGACGCCAGGCGAAATCTCGGCTGACCCACCCAGCGCACGACGAGGCGCCCACGAGACGACCACGGGAGGAATTTCGAAAACCTCATGTTGGCTCGTCCAATGTTTTTGAAAAAAGACAAGTAAAATCCCCTAAGTACAAGCACTGCCTCGGGCCACATGCATAACCCGGGAGACCAACACGGCACAAACCACCCGAACGTTACGCTCGACGGCAGCTTCGGAGGGACCCGTGCTCAGCTCCCCCACGAACGACTCCCGTTATACGAAGGCGCTATGGTGTGATAGGATCCGGAGCCTTCTTGGGATGTCCCCCAGCACTCCGAGGGACAGCCCAAGAAAACCCATCAGCTTTCCGAGGTGGCCCTCCCAGTAGGGGGCCACATGCGAACCCTACCCCTTACCCCCCACCCTCCCCCTCAGAAATCGTGGGGGGTAGGTGTAGGGTTCGCATGTGGACCCCTACCCAGGCCGCCGAGACGTTCCGTGATTCTTCTGTGTTCAATGTAGCACGTCGATGTGAAGGTTGTGAGAGAGAGGGAAGGACAAGTAGAATAATTGGATGAGGACGACGACAAGACGGAGGCGGCGGAGAAAGCAGACACGGAAGCGGTGGTGGAGGAGGACGACGTCTATCTTGATAACCGAAAAGGACAAGGAAATGTATGAAGATAATGGTGAGGATCAGAAGAAGCAGGGATTAGGTTGTGGAGGGGCGGTGGATGTGTGGGCATGCAGAGAACGACGAGGAGGAAGAAGAGGCGAATGTTTAACTGGCGGTGCCCAACATCGCATTATCACGGTGGCGCGTGTTGTCACAGTCAGCGCAGTTTCATTGCGTAAGTGTGTTCAGATTGGCGTCGTGGTCGTCACCAGAGTCGTCTGTACACACATTACGAGATTGTTATCACCATCCGTCGCTACCACTGTGGTCGGTGGTGGAGGGACTAGCCCCTAAGCGCGTGCGAAGCGCGCGTCTAATCAGTCAACAAAATGAGCAGGCGTCATGTCAGTGGAAGAACCCAAGAGAGGCCCCTGACGAAGCACCCTGGGCCCACCAGTATCTGCACAAACGAGAAGGCTGTCGTAGGCAAGCCTTAGCAGGGAAGACCATGAGAAGGCAGGTGACGAAGAAGACGAGGAGGCCATGGAGGAGCAGGAGGAGGAACGATATTAGGATTGTGATGAGGAGGAGCAGAAGGAACATGCGGGATGTGGAGGCGGCAGATGGGCAAGATGCGGAGGAGAGTGGGCAGGCTTGCGGCTGAGAAGAGCCCCCGCACGTGGCGAACAACGTCAGCCCGACACTGACCAAAACTACAGCAGCGTTTGTCATCGTCCGGTAAGGCCGCCTCCACACCCCTCGTGGTGGAGACTCTCTACGCCTGCGGCCTCCCCCACGCGCCCTCCCTCCGCGGCCGCCCTCTTCTCCTCTTGTCTAGTGCGCCCCAGCCCAGCAAGCCCCGCCGCCGGCCTTCGACCGCGTTGGCGCTCGAATTCGCCGCTGACCAACAGTTTTCACTGTCGGACGTGGATGTGTCGACTTGATCCAGGAGAAGGAGGAGGAGGAGGAGGAGGAGGAGGAGGAGGAGGAGGAGGCTCTGACGCTGCGGGTGCGTGCGCCCTGGAGCTTGCCCAAGGAAGGAACAGGAGGAGGAGGAGCAGGAGGAGGCAGACTCTGCGAGTGTGCGTGCCCTGCGGCTTTCTTAAAGGAGGAGGGGTGGGAGGAGGAGGCGGAGGCGGAGGAGGAGCATGGAGACTGTTGTTTTTTTTAATCCTTTGGCGCGTAACGATCGCACGTGGGGGTGGCGGAGGTTGGACCCCCCTCACCTCTCTCTCACACACACACATGCTGGTGCTCACGCGCATACCGTGGCGATCGCAGCGCAACCCCGCACCGACGTTTCCCACCCCGCCCAGGCGTTACCGTTACCCCTCCCCCCGGGCAACGACCGCTGCAACAAAAATGCAATCTCAAGGTAATGAAGAGGACGAGGAGGAAGAGGAGGAGGAGGGGCTGGAGCAGAAGTAGCAACAGGGACCGCGTACGGCTGGGAAGAGGAGGAAGAGAAGGAGGAAGAGGAGGAGGAGGAGGAGGAGGAGGAGGAGGAAGAGCATAATAATAGGAGGAGTAGGAGGAGTAGGAGGATGAGCAGAAGACTGGGAGGAATAAGAGGAGGAGGTGGAGGAGCGTACGGCCGCGCGCGGCCGACGGCCCCGCGAGGCGGGAGCGTGACGAGGCCCGGGCGGAGGCCGAGCGCACGCAGCAGGAGGCGCCCGCCGCGGGGCGCCCCTCCCGCGACGCGGGGGCTGGCGGCGATCCAGATCGGGGGGGGGTCGGGGCTCAAGAGATGGGGATCAATGCAATCGCCTGGCATCGCTCGGACGTGTGCGTTTTTTCTTCGGCGAGGGCCATCGAGGAGCATCCTTGATCATTTGGCGAAAGAGCCACGCACGAAACCGAAAAAAACACAGGGAATGGACGTCCGAGCGATGGCGAGAACGGGTGTCAGTCAGAGCGCTGGATCTTGCAGGATCCTGCAGAGCCCGGGGTGCATTCGCCCGGGTTGGGGTGTCAGATCTTGCAGGATGCTGCAGGAGCTTGCAGGATCCTACGAGGCCTATCTGACCCGGGTTTGGATTGACCCGCCGGGTCAGTAGATTCTCGAAGGGGAATGTCGGAGGGAGGGAGGTTCGCCATGGGGGAATAAACAAGTCCCGAGGAAACCACTCCTGCGGTTTTGCCCCGGTCTTCGGGCTCTCGGGGTCCTCCACGGCCACCAGGATTGTCACAAAACGACTCAGGGTGAAGACCTGGTCTTTGGGGAAGGCCCAGGGTCCAGGACCCGTTTCCCTCAGGACCCGACTCCCCCATAGGGGAGGGAGGTTAGACAGTAAATCACGGAAGTTTCCGCTCGTCTTGGATTGAGTACATATCGGCAATTGGCGCCCATCAGCGCGTTGAGACGCGTTCAAATATCGCCCAATCGCAACCATTGGCGCCCCATAGCGCCATGTGGGGGAGATGCATTGTGTCCGTTTTGCGGACTATTGGGATCCATGGGGACGACCACACATTTTCGTGAGTTGTTTCCTCAGGGAGGGGTGGGGACGAGGTTTGAGGTCTTCGGATGTGTTGGTCGGTTCTCAACGATTTTCCAGCTTCGGGGTGCTCTCCAGCAGCTGCGCCTCGCCGAGAGCGTTCTGGGGTGCCCAGATCGTCACAAACGGCGGCCGAGAAGCCGAGAGTTGACACGACAACAAGAGGGCAAAGATAGGGTTCTCTGCTCAGGGGAGAGGAGGGAGGAAGGGGAGGACGGGAGGGAGGGAGGGAGGATGGGGAGGGAGGCGGGAGGCAGGAGGGACCATGAGGGCGAGAGAAGGGGGAGGACGAGGGGAAGGAGCAGGGGTAGGGAGGAGGGGGGGGGCTTGGAGGGAGGGAGGGGAGCAGGGATCCCGTGGTTCGAGCCCGCGGTGGGCGACGGCTCCCCGAGGGGCGTGCGGGCCAGCGCGGCCGGGGCGGCGGGAGGCACCCCGAGCGGGCGCCCACGCGGGACTGCCCCGTGCGGCCCGCCCTCTTCTGCACTCGCGCGGATGCACGCCTGCCGGCAGGCAGCCGCGGCGGCTCCCCTCGGAGGCTCCGCCCGCCGCGCCCCCCACGGGGCGCGCCGCGGCCGCCCGCCGCGGGGCCCCTGCCCGCGTCCGCGGGGGCCCGCAGCACGGGGTCCACCCGCGCGGCGCCCCGCCCAGGCACGGCTCCCTCGCGCCGCGCCCCTGCGGAGGCGCAGTGCCCCAGCGCGTGGCGCAGGCCCGAGGCCCGACCAGCAGCGGGACGACCTCGGGCTGCAAGCTCGTCCGGCGGACACGCGCTGCTCGAAGCCCAGCGCGAGCAGGGGCCAGCAGTGCAGCACGTGCCGTTCCGAGGGGCGAAGGGGGGGCGGAGCGCGGCGTCAGGGCGCCGTGGTGCACCACGCCTCGGGCCAGGATGGGGCGAGGAGCGGTGCGAAGCTTCAGCGCTTCAGGGCGCCCCCAGGAGCCCAGGAAGAGGGGGGAGGAGGAAAAGGGGAGGCGGAGAGGGAGGGGCAGAGATGGCTCCAGGCGAAGTGCGCACCCCGGCCGCCTCGACACTCGGCCCGCCACTTGACAGGCATGCAGGCAGGCACTTTTTGGGGCACTTTTAGGCGGGCCAATCCCACGAAGCGCACCTCAGCGACCAGCTCCTTTACGCAGCCCACGTCCGTGAGGGCCCACGCGAGAGGGAGGAGGGAGGAGAAGGATGAGGCAGGAGAAGGAGGATAGAGGAGGGAGGGAGGGGGGGAAGGAGGAGGGAGGGAGGAGGGGAAGGATGAGGGAGGGAGGAGGGACGGTCGGTTCGGGTGGCTCACACGCCCACTGCCGCGCACCCGTCTTCTCCGCTTTCCGCTTCTTCCCTGCTCCCTAATTTCTCCAGGCTGTTTCTGTTTTTTTCTGGTTTTTGGGGGGCTGTCTTCGGCACCTGGGTGGTCTTCGGCATTTCCCCAAGGCGCTTATTCAGAAAACTCATGATAGGGGCACCCCATCTCCCCCCCAACGCACACAAACACACACACACACACATAAACACACACACACACAAACACACACACACACATACACACATACACACATACACACATACACACATACACACATACACACACACACACACACTTTTTGGCGTCCCGGCCACGCGCACGGCGGCGCGGCGCAGAGCAAGTCAAGCGGAAGCGCGCGGGCCAGCCCCAGCCCAGCTCACGCAGTGCGGAGAAGTTGGATCCACAATAACACACGCACACGCACATACGCACACACACACACACGACAGAGCCCCGAATCATCAGGGCTGGGGGCGGTCAGGGATAGTTACATGCTGGCGCCTCGGGGGCCCAAATCGGAGTTATCCCAGACCGCAGTTATCCGATGTCTCGAGCGCCCAACCCTCCCGAAGTATCAGGGCTGGGGGCAGTCAGGGGTAGCTGCAGGTTCGCGTCTCGGGGGCCCAAACCGGAGTTCCACCAGACAGCAGGTATCCTGGATAAGTTGGGCGTCCAAACGCACCTCGCCTTGGCACGAAGTGCACGGTCAGCCCACGCTCTTTGCCCCAGAGGCCACGCACCTCGAGAGCTCGTGCGGGGGGACTGCAGAAGGCCGAGGAGGTAGGGAGCCGGGGGAGGATGGAGGGAAGGGCAATGGGGCGAGTGCAGTGTCACGGAAAGGGGGGGGGGGGGCACTGAAAGGATGGGGCTTCGCGCAGTGGGGGGCGATACCTGGAGGGCGGCAAGGGTTGCAGAAGAGGGGCCCATCAGGGCCTCTAGAGGAGCCCTTTAGGGCCCAAAAGGGGGCCCCTAGGGCCCGGAAAGTGCACCTTTCTTCCCCCCCAGTTATCCTCCCCAAATTAAGCGACGCCCAAAGGGAGGGGGCAGGAAAGGGGGGAGGACAAGCTAGGCAAGCTCGCTCCATAGCAGCCATGGTCACCCCTCCAGCCCATCTTGCCGTTGCGTCGAATTTTGCCTTGTCCGCCGAATGAGTCGCCTGAGAGCCCCTTGATCTCCAAAGTGACCTCGTGGAGAACGGCGCGATCAGAAGAGGGGTACATTCGAGGAGGAGGAGAAGGAGGAGAAGGAGTAGGAGGAGGAGTAGATGGTAGATGAGCTGGAGAAATGGCTGGAGGATGGGGAAAGATGAAGAGCCGCAACAGGGTCAGGAAAGAGTCGGGAGGGCGGGCAGGAGGACCACGGGAGGGCTGAGGAGGGGAGAAGAAATGGTGTGCGGCTGCGACGAGGAAGGGATCGGATGCGAAGATTTCGCCTGCGCTGGGGCGCGAGTGCCATTCCGACCGACGGGGGGCAGCGCCAATCCTGAAATGCGGCCAGCGCTGCCTCGGGGTCACCCGTGTCCACCGAGGGACCGAGAGCGGCCCGAGCGAACAGCATACCACACGAACGCACGGGACGCGAGACAGACGTCGGCACCGCCACACGCGATCGAGAAGAGGAGAGAGCAGTATTTTTAACGAGTGACTGTGGTGGAAAAGAGGGAAGAGGAGCAGGAGCAGGAGGCGGAGGGGATGTGGCGGAGAGGGAGGCGAATGCGAGGATGTCCAGCCAACAAGAGGAGATACAGGAGTAGGGTATTGCTAGGCTATAGATGCTTAGGTTCGAGCGCTGATAAAAGTCACAACGCCCGACTCGCTCGCCGCATAACTTCAAAGTTGCATTGTGGTTCCAATTTGGCGCGTGAGGCAGCACGCTGGCCAGCACGTTCGCAAGCGTCGGAGCCTGAAGCTGCACCTGATGGCAGCGGGCGGCACCTCTTGCTTTCCGAGGCATGGCCCTTCGCCGTTGTCTTTCCTTTCTTTTCGGTTCCTGAGGCTCGTGGCTTCTGATGGCCTGCCCTTCTCCGCATCGCAGGCCAGACGTCCGAGGGAGAGGCGGGGCCGGAGGAGGAGGAGGAGGAGGAGAAGGAGGAGGGGGGGGAGGAGGAGGAGAGAAGGAAGAGGAGAAACGACACCCACAGCTCAGAGCGTCTTCGACGGGACCTTCTTTACGACGCTCATGTTCATGCCGAAGCGGATGTGGATCTGGTCCTCCAGTGCCCTGGCTTCCAGCCTCACTGGGAGAGGCCTGTGGCTTGGCCCCCGCTCGTCATCAGCTGTAGCACCACGTTCTTCAGAGTCGCCTGCCTCGTCAGGGTACGCGTTCCAGCTTTCACGCCCATGCTCGTCAACAGCAAACCGCCCTTTTTTCAGCTCCTGGCGGCACTGCACCTTCCAAGGTTGCTGGCCAGAACTCCCCGGATGGCGCTGCGCCTTTGCCGCGCTCGAAAGGGAAATTGTTGAGAAGGAGTAGGATGAAGTGGCAGTAAATGAAGAGGATGAGGCTCCCAGGGGGGGGAGGGGGGCCTTTTCTGTCGCAGCCAGTGGGCATGATCGGTCTGTTTCTCATCGGTTGTGCGACAGAGTGGTCCGTCCGATGACTCGATTTGCGCTTGCCCGTTGTGCCTGTGGGTTGGTTCAATGCCAGGCGGCCGGGGTAACCTTCAACGTAATTGGCGATGCTGATTCCAATCCTTCAATATTGTTGCTTAGTGCGTTTAGCAGTCGCTGGGCCACGGCCTGGCCGCCGAATTCCGATAAGCAGTAGACGGAACCGCTTGCGCAGGTGAGCAACACACAGCAAACAGGATCAGGAAGAACAGGGCACAGCGCACAGTTCCAGGGCGCCTCAAGAATGCCGTGCACCTCCTTTTCAGGGTTGGCTCCAGAAGGGCACGTGTGAAATCGTGCATGATGGTTCTCGTGCGCCGCTGGAGTTTGAGCCCCCCGGTCGGGCAGGTCGGCTGCTGATGAAACTTGGGGAGGGGGGGGGGAGACAGGCAGGTTGGCCGTGAATGCAAGGACGTGCCAATCGTGCACGCAATGTTTTTTTTTCGGGAGGGGCCAGCTTCGCGGCCGTCCGCAGGGCTTTGGGCTCCTTTGTCCCGGTGGCTTTCGGCTCTCCCTCCCGCCAGCGGCGACCCCGTCGCGCGTTGGATGCGCCTTCGTCGGGCACCGGCGGCCTGGTCCGTTGTGCCGATGCCCGTGCGGGCCCCGCCCCGCTGGCAGGGCGTGCGATCCGCTGGCAGCCACGCGACTGCTCGCGGTGCGGTGCGGAAGGTCGCGCGCTCCGTTCCGTCACGTTCTTCGCCCGGCGGCCGCTGCTACGAGCTACACCAGGCAGCTGCCCTCCCGGCAAGCCACGGACCTGGGATGTCCTTGGGCTGCTGCGGTTCCGCGGGCGCCCGCACCAATCGTTACCGCATCTTTTCGTCCCTGGCAGTGCGTGTCACTGCCACCGTTCGCTGCCAGATCCTGTGCCACATTGGATTTTTGTTTTGCGAGAGGGGGAGAGATAGAGAGAAAAAGAAAAAAGACGAAGAGAGAACAACCAACACATACATACAGAGAGGGGCGGGTGGAGATGGTAGACAGTGCCCGCGAGGTGAAGCAGCTTAACGATCACCAGGCCGCACCCCTCCGTGCCAGCGTGCGGTGATGGCGTAGGCGAGGGCATCGGTCAGGGGTTGGGCCCGCAGCAGACGACGTCGACATCGACGGCAGCGGACGACGACAGCGGGCGGAATGCCAATGTCAGAGCTGCTCAGATATCATGCCCTCCAGGGCCAAGCTGCAGCTAGAGATTTTGTGTTCGCGCACACCCTTTTGGGAGTCTCGACCTGGCTAGACTCAAACCCGTGTGAGGGGGATGGGGGGACTCTCCCGTTCCCCTCCTTGGTTCTCCCTCTCCCTCTCGCCGTCCTCCTCGACCTCCTCTCCTCCCCCGCTTCATATGGGGTCAGATCCTAACCGGACGATTCAGATCCCAACCCGACCGTTCAGATCCCAATTGGTAAGAAAACCGGAACGTTTCATATTCCAATCGTTTGCAAAAGGTATGCTTGAAATAATTGTAGGATCATTTTGGTAATGAGCACCGCATGGTATCCTTGAAGGGAACCCGCTCGGTTTTCATAGTGCGCCGTTGGGGTCTAGACCATCCCATGGCCCTATGATATGAAAATTTGAAGTGCTCGAGGACGGCACCATGCAGGCTCAATGCGCTCCAAGACCGCATCGCATACGAACGCGTCACAAATGTTTTACGGAACCTTTTTAACCTACACGTATGGGGCGCGCGTGCGAGATCACACAACACGTATACGTCACGCATGCGAGGCGTACCTGGAACGTGTGCGAACCGCTTGCGACGTGTGGCGCATATATGAAACGTATTTGGAATCCAGAAGGGCCGCACACGGAACGTACATGAAACGCACATGGAACGTGTATGATACGTGAACGAAGCGATTACGAACAGTTCACGAAACATGTTCACAGATTGCAAGGTGTATAACCGCATACGAACAGTAAATGAACGTGGATGAACTGGTCACGCAACGTGTGGAAAACGACATGATACGCAAATGAACCGTATGCCAGCCAACGTGGACCCAAGGCAGTGTTCTCTCATGGGGATCTGTTGTGCAGTCCAGGTGGAACACGATCTGTTGTGCAATTTACATGGTGCAATACATGCCGTGCAGTATGGGTAGTCCTTGCGAAGCATCGTGCAGCCTAGGTGGTGCAATATTTGAGATGCAACCTCTGCTATGCAAGATCCGTAGTGCAAACGATGTGATGCAACCTAGATGGTGCGCAACCTATGTGGTGGAATTGAAGTGGTGCACTATGTTTTGTTGCCCTTTGTTGTACACTCTAGGCGGCGACGAGGTGTCGACGGGGTGGCGACGGCGGCAACATAGGCGCCAGACGGACAGACAGGCCCATGCGACTGGCGGCGACGAGGCGGCGAACGGGCTGCGATGGCGGCAACATAGTTCCGCCAGGCCGACTCAAAAGCCCAGACAACGGGCGGCGACGAGGCGGCGGCGTGGCGGCGACAGCAGCAACATAGCCGCCAGACCGACAGGCAGGCCCAGTTCATTTAGGAGAAGTGAGCGACCCCAAGTGCAAACGCTGTTTGGGGAGTTTCTGATGCGCGTGCGAATCTCAGATGGCACCTGTCGGCTACGTTCAAGGAGCGTATACGCAACGCATAAGAAAGTATACGCCACGTACACGCAAAAAAATATAGAGCGGAGATGCCATTGAGATCGGGACATGTTTTGTTGAATTCCTATGGAAGCACTGAACAGAACATGCACGAAACATGCGGGGGGGGAATCGGCGCATGTCGTATTGAACCTCGACTGGGGAAGATGTTGGCCAGCGTGGGCCCCGAACGGTGTGTCTCTAGCAGTATGCGTTGTATCGCTAATGTGGTGCAAACCCACGCGGTGGCGATTGCGATGGGTGCTTGACGTTGGCTGGATCATGTCTGCGGCCGCGCCGACCGAAACACGCGCGCGCAGCGGCCAGCTAGTTTGACGCGACCGACGCGGCCGCGGTGGCAGTGAGCTCTGGGCTTATCCCAGCGGGCACTTCACTGCGAGTCGGCGACTTGGGCGGGCGCGGTATCATGGAAGCGTCGACAACGGTAGACGCGATGATGACAGCGGCGATGCGGGTGGCGATGTTGACAACGACGACGTCGCGGCCAATGCGGGCGCCGATGCTGATCACGCCGGCGACGATGACGGCGTCCTCGCGTCGGTGATGAAGGTTTCGGAAAGAGTTCGACATGTGCACGCGGCCGACGCGCGAGAGTGGCCCCCATCGTATTATTTTCTTTGACGCGGATCGTGCCCCCCCCCCACAGCATGTGCGAAAGTGCGTGCGAATGATGTCGGCATGCGGCGCCAGTGGCCCGCTCGGCAGAATCCCATGAATATGTTGAGAACACTCCAGGTTTCTTTAGAGCTCGCAAGAGCGCGAGCGCACATTGCTTTGAAAACTGATTTTGCGAAACAATGTTTTTGAATGTGTTATGGGTACTAAGTTTTGAATGTGTTACGAAATCTGAGATTTTGACGGGCTCCGGCATGCGCGCGCGAGGACGCGCGCGGGTGCATTCGTTCCGCGTTTTGCCAAAAAGGTTCTCGCGACGGCACGCGCGCAAGGGCGTTCGATCGATTTTGACATGCGCGCGCGAAGCCCGTTTGGTAGCATTTTCTGCGAGTGTTGAAATAAAACTGATTTCCCGAACAATGCGCACGAGCGCGCGCAATTTGTTTTGCCCCTGAAACTCGATTTTGAGGTCCTTAAAGAAACCGGAGGTTTTGCAATGATTCCGGCCTGCGCGCGCGACGACGCGCGCGTGCGTTTTTTCGTCACATGGTTTGGCAAGGGGTTTTTGCAAATTGGTGATTTGTGCTCAACGAATGCGCGCGCATAGTAACTTTTGCTGAAAATGGCGGGGGGGAGGCGATACAGGTTGGGCCGGGATGGTGTGAGTTCATATTTCGGATGGACGATGGGGCTGAATCAGATTTAAATTGCAATGCGACAGTGGGGGCCGATTGTCCCGGGGGAAAGGGTGGGTAGAGTCCAGATGCGGTGCAATATCTGTTGTGCATTTTACGTGGTGCAACGCAGGTAAATATGCCATCTGGTGCAGTATATGCCGTTCAGTAGTACATGTAGAGTGTGCAAGCTATGTGGGGCTACGGTCTAAATAGTGATAGGTGGTGCAACGTATGTGGTGCAGTCTTATCGTGACACGTGTTTATACATCGATGTACATTTGCAGACATACATATACATCTACGTGTGAATGCGTAAGCATATACATACATGCATGCATGCATGCCTGTACGCATGCATGCAGACATCGATCCATAAAACTATACATGTATCCGTGTGTGTATATATATATGTATATATATACATATAAGTCGAAAGCGCCTACGGCGAAACACCGCCGCCCCCTGTTTTTGTGGAAGCGCCTACGTGGCCGAACGTTGAGGCCAGACCTGCCAAGCTATCGGACCATGTGTGTTCCCCAAATCGGTTTGGAAAACCTTCGGGGAACACGTGGGCATCTTGAAGGTCATCTTGGCCGTCTGGAGGCCATTTTGACCCTTTCGGGCCTTTTTGGAGGACGTCTTGGAGGGCCTCTTGGGCCGTCTTGGAGGCCATCTTGGGCGTATTGGAGGCCTCTTGGGCCGTCTTGGGGGCCTCTCGGGGCCGGGCCGTCTTGGGCCTCTTGGGCGATCTTTGGGGACACTTGGGCCATCTCGGGCCGTCGGAAGGCCCAAAAAAAAGCCACAATCCTTCAACAACTCATGGAGAATCAATGATTTTGAAATTTGGCCTTTCCTGGAGGCTCTCTTGGAGGCCTCTTGGGCCGTCTTGGGCCATCTTAGGGCCATCTTCAGCCGTTTTGGTGGGCTCGTGGCCCGTCCGACGCCGTCGGAAGCCGTTTTGGGGGCCCCTCTGGGCCGACTTCGGGCCATTTTGGAATCTTAAGAGCCTCCTGGCCCGTCTTGGGGGCCTCTTGGGGACGTTTTGGGGGTCTCTTGGGCCGTTCTAGGCCATGTTGGAGGCCTCTTGGGCGATCTTTGGGCGCTCTTTGGGGGCACTTGGGTCATCTCGGGCCGTCGGAAGGCCGAGAAGAAGCCAATGTCAAAATCCTTCAACAACTCATGGAGAATCAATGATTTTGGCCTTTTCGGCCCTTCCTGGAGGCTCTCTTGGAAGCCTCTTGGGCCGTCTTGGGCCATCTTAGGGCTATCTTCGGCCGTTTTGGTGGGCTCGTGGCCCGTCCGACGCCGTCGGAAGCCGTTTGGGGGGCCGATTTTGGGCTCTCTTGGGGTGCTCCAGGGCCGTCTTAGAGGCCATATTGGGCGTCTTGGAGGCCTCTTGGGTCGTCTTAGTCCTGAGGCCATCTTGGAGGCTTCTTGGGCGCTGTGGGGGCGATCTTGGGGGCCTCTTGGGCCGTCTTGGGTTGTCGGAAAGCCGAAAAGGAGCAAATACGAAAAATGCTTAGAAGCCTAAGGCAAATCAATGATGTTGGCCTCTTCGGGCCCTCCTGGAGGACATCTTGGAGGCCTCTTGGGCCGTCTTGGAGGCCTCTTGGGTACCTCTTGGGCCGTCTTGGGCCGTCTTGGAGGTTTCTTGGGCGGACTTGGAGGCATCTCGTCTTCTCTTGGGCGGACTTGGAGGCATCTCCTCCTCTCTTGGGCAGACTTGGAGGCCATCTTGGACCATCTTGGAGGCCATCTTGGGCCAACGTGGCCATCTTGGAGGCCATCCTGAGCCGTCTTGAAGGATTTTTTCCAGGATTGAGCTCCTGGGCAATCCTCCCGGGACCCCGGCGGGACGCGCCGGAGCCCTTCGGGGAGTTCTTTGTGGAACAGTATACAACCAAAACCGAAATCATCTAGCACGCCAGGCACCCCTGTGATGAATCAACAGGGGGCGGCGGATATAATGACGTTCGGCCCATCCCGCCACCGTGCCTGGGTTGCGGGTGTGAAGCCCATTGGATGCTCGTTGGTATCTCGTGGGGGGCCTCTCGGGGGCCTCTTGGAGGCAGTTTGGTCGCCTCTAGGGGGCCCTCTTATTGCCTCTTTGGGGGCCTTTGGGGGGGTTCTTGGGTCCCTCTTGGGCTTTTTGGGGCCTCTTCGGGCCCTCGTAGGGCCTCCTGGAGCCCTCTTAAGGCGGAAAGCTCGGATTGTCGGTTCGTGGTACCCCTCTTGGGCCCCTCGTGGGGGCCGTCTTGGGGCTTTTTTGGGCCGTCCTCTTGGGCCGTCTTGGGGCCCTCTTGGGCCGCTTCCAGGCCCTTTTCGGAGCCTCTTGGGCCGTCTTGGGGCTGACTTGGGGGCCTCTTGGGCCGTCTTGAACTGTCGAGAAGCCGAAAAGGCAAGAAGGCCAACATCCTTCACAATCCCAAGGCAAGTCAATGATTTTTGCCTACCGGGGCTCCTGGCGGAGGGGGGATTGGCACTGTGCAGTTGAAGAGACCTGCTAGGCATATTGGGCGTACTGTGCTTGGGACGTCTGCCATGCAGGGGTTCCTGTGCTGGGCCGCTAGGGCCTGGGCTGCCAGGCCTGAGGGAACACCAGACCATATACACTAAGTGTTGTTATTGATTGCGCCTTTCGCTTGTAGTTCTAGAAAGGTTGTGTCGTGTGTTCATGGTTTCGTATTGCGTTACTTTGGCCTTCCACTGGCATCAGCACTTCAATGTTGTTCACGACGGTGCTACGACTTGTGAACTTGTAAGTTGCTCGCAGTTCCCCAGTGGGGACGGCTATCGGCCAACGCATGAAAGTTGAGACCGCCTCTTCCTGATCGCTCCTTCTCGTCCTCGCTCCTCCTCTTTGTGCTCTTCATTTTCGAAGTGAACTCGCAGGGCGCAGTCCCCCAAATGGAGGCGTTTCCGACTGCACATGCCGTACCATGCGCTGATGTTTGCTTTGCCTAGGAGTTTGTAGACGGAGTGGGTTGAGTGTTTTTGCGGGGTTCGCAAGGTTTGCGCTTGGGCGCTTCACCGGCAGGTGGGAGGTAAATCTGAGGTGTAGGAAGAGGAGGACCAGGAGGTTGAAGACTAGGAGGGACACAAGGGGACGAGTGGGAGGGGAGGGAGGGAAAGGAAGGGGCGATTTTGAATGTGAGGGGAACAGGGGGAGGCAAAAGAAATAGGGGGGGATGTGCCACATCCCACCAGCCCTTTGGGGCGCAGGTGGTTTAGGGAGTTTCCTCTTCCAACCCCTTTCTGCCCCTTCGGGGAGGGGTTTATCATTGTTCCCTAGTAATAACCACCCCCTCCCCCACCCGGCCAGCAGCCAACCCGGAACCATGCGCACACCATGAGGGCCCCCCCCACCATCTCTGTCAAAAACAATGCAAAACGCATTCTGCCTCCAAATTCGGAGCATGTGCAACCAACCAGATGTGGGCCCCCCCCACCATCCCTGCCCATGCTGAGGCTCGGGTATTACTTCTGTATTGGGAGGGCGGGTGGGAGTGAGCTGGACGGCTTGCTATCTGGAGGGTGTTTTGATCACTGCTCCCAATTAGTATACACCCCCTCCCCGAGGCGACTGGGAGCCAACCCGAGCCAATGAGGGCCCCCCCCCCCACCATCCCTTGTAAAAAACAATACTCTGCTTCAAAATTCGAAGCATGCGCAGCGAACCCGATGCGGCCTCTCCCCACCATCCCTGTCAACAAACAATGCAGAATACACTTGGCGGCGGCGGCGGCGGGGGCAGCGGTTGCGGCGGCTGCGGCGGTGGCGGCGGCGGTGGCGGCAGCGGCTGCGGCGGCAGCGGCTGCGGCGGCGGCGATTCGGCAGCGGGGGGCGGCGGCGGCGGCGGCGGCGGCGGCGGGCGGCGGCGGCGGCGACGGCGGCGGCGGCGGACAGCGGCGGATTCTCCCCCAGTAGCTGCTCATCCAAAGACGACTGCTGCATATGCTGCGGCTCGGGCCAGGCTCGGGTGCTGCGTATGTGTTGGGAGGGCGGGTAGGAGTGAGCGAGACGGTTTGCGGGCGGGGGGGGAGTCTTGACCCCTCCCCTTGCACCCTCCCCTGGACCTGGACGGGGGTTCCGCGGGTAGTTGGAGCGTCCAAAACGGCCTGGGCGAGGAAGCCAAACTCATTGGTTTTACTACAAAAAAAACTGATTATCCCGGCAAAGCAACCTAACAACGATGTGTAGAAGCATATCTGAAAGCATTCCCCTTAAGATTCAAATGAACATCCAGTTGTAGAATTCTGCTGTTCTCGCAGTCGTAGTCGCATTCGCGATGACAGTCGCAGCGGCAACGGCAGTCGCAGTCACAGCCTCAGCCTCAGCCTGCCTCAGCCTCAGCCTCAGCCTGCCTCAGCCTCAGCCTCAGCCTCAGCCTCAGCCTTCAGCCTCAGCTGCCTTCAGCCTCAGCCTCAGCCTGCCTCAGCCTCAGCCTGCATCAGCCTCAGCCTCAGCCTCAGCCTGCCTCAGCATCAGCCTGCCTCAGCCTCAGCCTCAGCCTGCCTCAGCCTCAGCCTCAGTCTGCTTCAGCCTCAGCCTCAGTCTGCCTTCAGCCTCGGCCTCAGCCTCAGCCTGCCTCAGCCTCAGCCTGCCTCGGCCGCAGCATCAGCCTGCCTCAGCATTCAAAATGTGGCCCAGGAATGGAGTTCTGGGAATTAGAAGAACACGAAGTGGCCTACAGTTGGCTCCGGGCATTCAAAATCATGCATAAGAATGGAATTCTGGGAACTTGAAGAGCACGAAGTGGCCTACAGTTGGCTCCGGGCATCCAAAATGTGGCCCGGGAGTGGAGTTCTGGGAATTAGAAGAACACGAAAAGGCCTACAGCTGGTTTCGGGCATCCAAAATGTGGCCCGGGAATGGAGTTCTGGGAAGTCGAAGAGCACGAAGTGGCCTACAGTTGGCTCCGGGCATGGAAAATGTGGCCCGGGAATGGAGTTTTGGGAGCGCCAAGAGCGATTTCGCGAGGATGTCCCAAGCGATTTGGGCTTCGGCGGCAGCCGCGGCGGCAGCCTGTCCGGGTCCCGCCCAGACCCCCCTGAGGAGTCATGATGTTTTTTTTTGAGACCACTAGAAACCTATCAGCAAGAGCTGTTAGGTAAAAACAATTCATTGGTTTTACTACGGTTGTGGCCCCATTTGAGCCTCCTGGAGTGAGGAGCGTAATTGAGGACCCCCCCTTCTTTGATCGATCTCCTCCGAGATGGCCCCAAGAGCGCTCCCAAGGCTCCCAGGGGTGCCCCAAGAGGGCCCCAAGAGGTGGCCAGGAGGCCCCAAGAGGCCCCCAAGAAACCCCCAGGATGCCCCCAAGAGGCTCACAAGAGACCCCCAAGAGGCCCCGAGAGGCCCCCCAGAGGCACCCAAGGTGCTCCAAGAGGCCTCGGCGAGAATTCAACAAATCATTGATTGCACTGTGGTTTTGGCAACATGTTGGCCTCCTGGGGGGGGCACTGATTAAGACGACTCCAAGAGCGCCTGGGAGAGCCCAAGATAACCTCCAAGATGGTTCAACATATCCAAAGATGCGCCAAGATGGCTCCCACGATGCTCCAAGAGGCGCCAAAAGACGGCTCCAAGTGGCCAAAGGGTTCCCCCGGGAGGCCCTGAAGAAGCCAAACTCCTTCCAACACCTTGAGGGAATCGATGTGTTTGGTTGTCTCGCCGTTTCGCTTCCGATGGCCACCCGAGGCCCCAAGATGGCTCCAAGGTGGCCCAAGAGGGCCCCAAGAGAGGCTCACGAGAGCCCCAAGACGGCCCCAAGAGCGCCCAAGAACGCTCCAAGAACGCCCAAGAGCGCCCCAAGAGAAGACGTTGCTTGGCTCCCGAGGGGCAACGCTAATCAAGGCTTCCCTCTTGTTTGATCGATGTCCTCCAAGATGGCCCCAAGAGCGCTCCCAAAGCTCCCAAGAGCGCTTCAAGAGGGCCACAAGAGGCGCCCAGGAGGCCCCAACAAGCGCCCAAGAGGCTTCCAAGATGCTCCCAAGAGACCCCCAAGAGGCCCCACGACGCTCTAAGAGGCGTCCGTGACCGCCAAGAGGCCCCCAAGTCGCTACAAGAGGCCTCCACTAGGGGACCCTTTCTCTGTGTGCTGCCCACTTCCCTGATCGAGGCAATTCCTCTGGGCATCGATGGGCTGGTGGGATTGAGCGAAGCGTCTAGAATGTTTCGGATGAGGGCGAGGGGGGGGGGGGAGGGAGGAAGGAACAATACGGAATTGTCTCCAACGGACGGACCGAACTACATTGGAAGGCCGAGTTGCAGGAGGAGACCCACCAGCTCTCCCAGCAAATCCAGGACCTGCTGAAAATCGTGGAGGACGTGCCGCAAGGGATGTGTGGGCAGCCGTCTTTACCTCAGGTGCCCAGTTCACGTTTTCCGTCCACTCTCGCTTTTGAAAGCCCCAGGTGCTGGAACATCTGGTTAAGCGCGCCCCCCCTCCCCTCCCCCGGCTCGTCCCCCCTCCCCTTCCCTGGCCTTTCCCCTTCCCCCCTCTGATCCACCTCCTGCTCCTCCTCCTCCTCCTCCTGCTCCTCGTCCTCCTCCTCCTCAGCCTCGGTCGGTCGGTGGCGGGGAGGATGGTCGAATCCGATGCGGCAAGGGGGAGAGCGGAGCAATGGCACAACCAATCCAATGAATCGGATGTTTGCAGCGGCGCAGGAACGCGCACCTGGTGTGGTGGATGAAGAGCCTGAACTGTTGCCGAGGGCGCAGAGGTAGTGGGTTCGAAGGGGTATGTGTAGGGATGGCGGTCGAGAAGAGCTTTCATTCAAGCAGATGCAGGCATTATCACAGAGTGACGAGCTGCGCTGGGTAGCACAGCACCAATTAGGACACTGCTTCTTACAGTGAGCGGACACTGTGGCAGAGCGGTCTTGACCGCGGCATTTGCTTTGCCCCTCGGGCAGTCCTTGCGCGCCGCGCCAAATAAACGGCAGCCCCTGAGGACAAGGGGAGAGGGATATGTTCGGACAGGTTGTCAAGGTCTTCGCAAGCATACATAACAGAACAATACATGGCAGCCTCAGCCGATATGCATGGATTATCTGGGGAACAGTATCTCATCAGCCCAGTCGGAAGTTCCAAATCGTCGCTTGGACTGCCCAGGCTGATGGAGCGACGAAGGGTAATTTCTCGAGCCGAGGTCCAGCGCATACCGCCAGGAACTAGAGGGGCAAAGGAAGCCAGGGGGATATGCCTGTCCCCTACCGCGCGCCCCACTTGGATCTCAGTACACCCCTGCACGAGCCTCTTGGGGTAGAGTGGACGTGGAATCGTACGGAGTCCGTTGCAGAGTCCAGAGGGGCAGCGGCCCTTCAGACATCTGAACCCGTGAGGCCCAACAGGGCAAGGTGGTGGCCTCCTCCTCTTCCTCCTCCTCCTCATCATCATCATCATCACCATCATCATCATCATCATCATCATCAGCATCAGCATCAGCATCAGCATCATCATCATCATCACCCTTTTCCATGTTCCTCCGTAGCCGTTTTGGCTGGAGGCCACGGAGGATCTGTTCCTGGACCTCCCCCATGCCCTGCTCGCAAAAAGCATGGCCGAGGAGCCCGCGGGGCTCTTCCGCACCACAGCAGCAGAGGAGCCCGCGGAGGCGGACCCTCCGCCGCCGCTGGGCGTGCTCGGGTGCGCGAAGTGCGGCTTCCGCGTGACGGGGCTGCGCCCAGCCGGCCGACTGCTGCACGGGTCGGGTGGCTGGTGTGGCTGGCGGCGCTGCCACGTCCGCAGAGAGTCGTCACCAGCTCGGACCGATAGCGATTCTTGCGATGACCTGGTGATCTATATATACATATATATGTGTACATGCATAAACATGTATACATGTATATTTATATCTATATACATATATATATATACATAAATAGAATGGCGTTGCCCACGTGCGGCTCATAATGGTGGCACTTGCTGGTGACGGGGTGGTATAGCGGTTGAGCGATGTGCAAGTCGTGTGTGTGTTGTGTGTGAGGTATTTTGATGTCTTGTCTGGTATGATGTTTGATTGCCGCTACGTTGTACGATTTACGTTCGACGCTGCGCTTGTCCGCTGTCTGATATGCGCGTTGGGGAATGTTAGACGTTGTAGTGTGTTGTGTGGCGTCGACTGTACGGTGTAGGTGCCTATGTCAAGGGCCTTGTGGTGCGCCGTATGGTGTATGGTGTGTGGTTAGTGTTTCATGATTTACGACACGCTGTGTCTGTACAGTGTGTTCTGAATGAGGGGGGCGGTATATATTTACATATATATATATATATATATATATGTATACAGTGCCATGTGTGCCGTGACTTTCCTGTTGCATACCCTGTGTGGTGCACGTTGGAGCGCGATGGGAAAAAATGGTGATGATGATGATTCTGATGAGGAGGATGAGGAACGAGCGCATGAGCAAATAATGATGCGCATGGAATGGCACAGAGGCCATCATGAGGGAATCAACGGTACGCATAGGGTGAGGACGCATTCGGAAGGTCTTTGGGGGGCAGCGTGTCCTGTGCCGTCAGTGTCTTGGTGATTTCATGGATGCTTCTTGGCAGGTGTCGGATTTGGGTTGTCTCCTTCGCATCCTTGTCCTGTTCCCCCTTTCTCTTCCACCCACCCCCCTTGAGGACTCTTGGGTCGTCTTCAGACCATCTCGGGGCCTACCACCAATTGATCCAGACTCTTGGGTTCTCTTGGAGCTCCCTTCGGGTCCCTCTGGGCGCTCCTGGAGCGCTCTGGAAGGCCCTGGAAACCGCCCCCAGAAGTGCGGGCATCCTTGACGGGCTTCTCCCTGGGTGCTTCAGTGTGGGGGGCCCCAAAGGTTCGCGCTGCGGGCGCAAGCTAGAAATACGGTTCAGATGTCACTGGAGATTTTAGCATGGCTCTGGTCCGTCGGGTTATGTTATGTTGTTTGGAATACATGTGGCATCTCGTATGACGATAGTGGCCCACGCTGTGAAAACGGAAGTAGGCGTGATGATGCGATGGTGGATGCGGCTGAAATGCGATGGCGGCGCATTTCGATGAATGTAACGCACGTGTGGGCGTTACGGGATATGGCGTCTTGTGGTCAATGCGTGCGCGGTAGATGTACTCAGTTTGTTGTGTGATGCGCACCTGCCAATTGTTGCATGATGTGCCATGTATGGCTATCGCTGTATAGTATAGTGGTACCTGTGCGAAGTAACATATTGTCCGTATTGCCCTTCCCCGCGCAGTGTACGCCGTGCGTCGTGCGCTGTATGGTCTTCTGCAGGTTTTGCACCTTAGGGCGGACGGTGTATCATGTAGTGTGCCTGGTGTGTTGTGCCGTGTAGGGTGCATGGCGCATGATGTACTATGGCCGCGGACGCGGCAACGCAAACGGCCAACCCACCCTCCAACCCGTCGAACAGTCGGCCAGCCATGGTATTGCTGCATGGAGTGCGAGGCGGCGGGCGGCAGCGGCGTGCACAGCGCCGACTGCCAGCAGATGCCGGTCCACGGCAGGCAGCCAGGCGCGCCGCGGCCTGGCGGTCCTGGCGTGGCCCTCGGCTCGTTCGCGTTGAAGCTCCGCGGACTGCTGGCCACCAAGGGTCCGCTGGGCCTCGCGGCCGTGCCAGGCGCCTGGGACGCGGAGTTTGGCGCGGGCTGCTGGGTGGCGGAGCGTCCCGTGAGGCAGGTGCACAAGGCCTGCTCGCCGCCATACGGCGATGGCACGGAGGTGGTGGACGGTAGCGTACACCTCGTGGAAGAATTGCCCGACCAGGGCCCCACCACGGAGGCGCGGGCCGCCGCCGCGGAGGTGGCGGCGCTGCCAGACGGGACGCGGGAGCTAGTGGCCATGGAGTTCAGCGCCTGCGCGCGGGGCCGGCAAGTTGGCGTTGCCTTCGCACGGGCGGCTGACTACTGGCAGTGCCGCTTGGAGCTCCCTAGGGAGGTGCCCACCGAGGATGGCCTTGGCGCCGCCGCCCGCTCTGCGTCCCGCGACGGGGAAGCGCCTGCAGCGCCGGGGTCCGCGTCCGCCAGCCAGGAGGCGGTAAAGGCCGTTGGCTTTGGTGAGGCCTCGGAGGACGCACTGCTCGCGGCCCGGGCGCGTTTGCTGGAGCTTTTGGGGCGCTGGGGCGGCGCTGGCGACCCGCGCCTAGCGCGGCTGTTGGACGGCCGACGGGCGTTGCGGCGGGTGCTTGCGGCGCTTGAAGAATTCCTCCCGCGGCGCGGTGCGCATGAGGGGCCGAGCGCACTGCAGGGCGAAGAGGTGGAGGCGGCACCAGCAGCTCCAGAGGCGGGCCCAGCGCAGGTTTTGCAGCTCATTGACGAACTGCTCGCGCACCTCTGCGCGCTGCTGCGCGAGCCTCCGCCTTGCCGAGCCGCCTGCTGGGCGCTGGTCGCCAGCTCCTGGCCTCACTTGCTCTGGACGCAGGATCACGGGCGCCTCCACAGCTTCGTCGCGACGATGTGGGGCTCGCCGCTCCGCATGCCGTTCCGGACCTGGTCGCGGATGGCAGAGCATGCCACTTGGCATGTGCGGTTCCCCGCGCTTGAGCTGCTGGAAGGGGCGCCGTTGGCCGACGAGGGCACCGCGGCAGGCTATGCAGCCCATCACCTGTACAGCTTGCTGCTGGAGCAGCGCGCGCAACTCCTGCAGGAGTGCGACAGGGGCTCCGCGAGCTGCGGGGTCGCGGCGCGCTGGGAGCCCCGCGAGGAGGGCTGGTCCTGCTCCATCGATGCAGGTGCGCTGGCCTCGCTGCCAGGAGGCGGCAGGGGCATTGCGCTCTTGGTGACGAGCCCTCTAAGCGCTGCTGGCGACGGCGCGGTCTGCGAGCTGACAGACGACGGCCGCGCGCTCGCGCGCGGCGTGCCTGGCCTTGCCGCACTCGTGTCCCTGCTGTGCTCGCCGACGGCGTCGGTCACGGCTCTACAGTGCCACGCCACGGTGCACGCGAGGCAGGTGGAGGCGCTCCGAGCTGTGATTGCCGAGCACGGCAGCCCCTTCGACGCCGCCATGCGCCGCCTGTTGGTGACCTCCTGGCGGCCAGAGCCTGACAGTGGCTCGCTGACTGCCGCCGCTGAGCTCGGCAGCGGCCGCCCGGGGGGCGACACGGGACTTCCGGAGGATGCCCGTGACGGTGGCACAGAGGACGCCGCGCGGCTGTCCACCCTCACCAGCGCACAGCGGGAGGCTGTGCAGAACGCGTTATCGCGACGCCTCAGCCTGGTGCGGGGCCCGCCTGGCACAGGCAAGACCCAGGTGGCTGCGGCCATCGTGGCTCGTGCAGTGGCCAGGCTCGAGGCGGGCTCGCGCGTGCTGGCCGTGACGCAGTCAAACGCTGCGGCTCGCAACCTCCACCGCCGACTGGAGATGTTCGGCGTGAGAGCTGCCCGCGTGGGCATGGCTTTGCAGGCGACGGAGGTGACGGAGCAGGAGCTGTTCGCGGCAGTGCGGGACAATGACCGGCAGGACGCAGACGTCGAGTTGATGCAGAGGGCATCCGAGGTCGAGGGCCGGCCGCAGGCGCTCGCTGATGGAGACCAGCGCGACGACGCGCAGAGCCCGCGGGGCACGTCCACGGTCGCGTCCATCCGCTGGAGCGAGGTGGCGTCGAGGATTGGCGTCACCCCTGGTGCGCTGAACACCGCACTCTTTACCGTGATGCAGCGACTCGCGAGGCGTGCAGATGCGGTGGTCATGACGTGCGCCACCTCGGGCAACAAGGGGCTGCTGCGCTGCCTGGGGCCCCTGCCGCTGCTGGTGCTCGACGAGGCGGCGCAGTGCGTGGAGCCAGCGCTGCTCGTGCCTCTGAGCCTCGGTTGCCGGGCCCTGGCGGCGGTTGGTGACGAGAAGCAGCTGCCCGCGACGGTGCTCGATCGCGTCGCGGCGGACCGAGGACTCGGCTGCTCGTTCTTCGAGAGGTGCGTGTCGGATGGACTTGTGGGGCCCTCGGGCGGCTTCGTGCAGCTGGATGAGCAGCGGCGCATGCACCCGTCGATCGCCGAGTTTCCCTCGCGCTGCTTCTACGACGGGGGCGTACTCGACGCCATGGCTGTCACCGAGGTCGGGAGCCGGCCGCCACCGCCAGGCTTCCCGTGGCCTTCGGCGGCTTGCCAGGTTTGTTTCGTGGACTGCGACGGGAGAGGCCACGCCGAGGACGCCGGACGGAGCCGCGCGAATTCCTACGAGGCCGAGACGCTGGTGCGGGTCCTCAAGGGTTTCCTTGCGGCTGGCACAGCTGCCGCAGACATTGCGGTCATTGCCGGCTACTCCGCGCAGCGAGCGCTGCTGCAGTCCCTGGTCTCGCGGAGGCTGGGCAGCCAGGCTCAGGGCCTGAAGGTCGGCACGGTCGATGGCTTCCAGGGCGCAGAGCGTGACCTCGTACTGGTGTCCACTGTGCGCTCGAACGCTGGCCGCGAGGTGGGCTTCCTGCGCGACCGGCGCCGGGTCAACGTGCTCCTCTCAGGGCCCTCCTAGAGGGGCCAGGACGACTCCCGTAACGCTCTCAGAGCCTTCCGAAACGCCCTGAGATGGCCGAGGCGCTCGAGATATCCCCCAGAGCCGCCGGGTCTCAGAGAGTCTCGACTTATCCTTGCCCGAAGCTGCCCTCGTCCTGGATTCGTCTTGCCGTGAGCCAGGACCATGCCCACCTGGACTCCGACAGTTCCACCTGGAGGGGCGGGAGAATGCGTCGACCCGTGGCTGCAGCTTTTCTCGTGCGCGCCGAGGTCGTGGTTACCAGTCGGCCCAGATGAGTAGGTCGACCCTGCCAAGCCAAGGGTGCCCTTGTGTCCTGTGTCTCGCGACCCATGCCTCCTACATGCCTGTGGCAGAGTGGCCCTCGGAAGGGTCCTGTCTCCTCTCGCGTGTCCTCTCCAATCAAGGCCGACTGTACCAGAAGTCCCCGTTCGGAGGGCCCCGATCCTCACCCGCGCTCGCCGGGGGCTGGTCGTCTTCGGAAGCGCCAGCACGCTCGAGGGCGAGGCCCTCACCTGGCGCCCGTGGCTGGACTGGGCGCGTGGCCGCGGGGCGGTGCTGAGCGCAGCTGCGGCGCTGCCGCAGCCCACGGCCGCGGCCCCGGCCACGGCAGCGCCGGCGGCGCCGGTGGTGCCGAAGGCCGGGTCGCAGGCCGAGGACTGCGAGCCGGGCTGGACGCTGCTGCGGGAGGAGGTGCGGCTCCTCGACGAGGAGCTGGCCCAGGAGCGGGCGCAGGACGAGGAGCTCGAGGCGCCTGCCCCGCGGGAGCCCTCGGACGCGGGAGGGTGGACGCAGTACGTGGACCCCGTGAGCGGAAGGCAGTGGATGTGGAACGAGGCCACGAAGGACGCCGTCTGGCTGTGAGGGCGCGCGGAAAAGGCCCAAGGCGAGAGGTCCCGGCCCACTGAGGCATTGCTGTCGAAGAGGAGGTGCTTGCACAAACGTAAACTTCTGGAGTTCCGCCCACATTTCTGAGATCGGCGCTGAAGCCCCCCGGCGGCGCCTCTGGCGCCGTCCCTGGCGCGCTCTGCGCGCCACGGAGGGGGCCTCAGCGCAATCCAGCGCACACCCGAACAATCTGCGCGGACCTCAAAAAGTTTATGTTGACATGTTATGTTTTGGGGTTCCAAAAACGGTGCTTGCACTTTGGGGTCATCACTTCCTTTCTAAGGCAGCTCAGCCTGAGTGCCGCCCTGGCCGGCTCGTCGCCGTCCGTCGCCACCCGTCGCCGCCGCCGTCATCGCCGCCAGTAACCACCGTCGCCGCTGGTCGCATTGATTTGCACTGGTTTGCGTTGCTTTGCATGGGCTTGTGTTGCTTTGCATCGCTTTGCATCGCTTCGCATTGCTTTGTATTGCCCTGCATTGTTTTGCATTGATTTGCGCTGTTCTGCATTGCTTAGCATTGCTTGGCATTGATTGCGCTGTTCTGCATTGCTCAGCATTGGTTCACATTGAGTTGCAATGCCTTGCATTGCGTTGCATCGCATTGCCTCGCGCTGCATCGGTCAGCACCTCACCACATAGCTCTGCATTGATTTGCATTGCGACGCATTGCTTTGCATTGTTTTGCACTGAGTTCATGAAGTTGCAGTGTGTTGCGTGTTTTGTACTGAGTTCATTAAGCTGCAGTCTTTTGGCTTGTGTTGTGCTGCTTCGCATTGCTTTGCGTTGCGTTGAGTGCTTTACATCGGTTCGCATGGCACTGGTTTGTTTTGCATCGCTTCGTACTGCTTTGCGTTGCTTTGAATTTGGATGACAATGCTTTGCTTCGCTGTGCATCGCTCTGCGTTGCTCTGAACGGCTTTGCTGTGCAGTGCGTATCGTTGCATTGTTTTGCGTTGTACTGTATTGATGTGCATTATGTTGCAATGGTTTGCATTGTCGTGTATTGCTTTGCAGTCATCTGCATTGCGTTATTGTGAATTCATATGCATTGCTTTCCATTGGGGTTGCACCGTTTTGCATTGTGCTGCAACACACTACCTTGCATTGATGTGCGTTGATTTGCTTTGCGTTGCATGGCTTGCGCGTGCCTCTGCATGGAGCTGCATTGCTTTGCGATGGATTGTAGCACCTCCAGTGCACCACACTGACTGCGCCACCTAGATTGCACCGCACAGACCGCAACTGGTTGGGGTCCACGCTGGCGAACATGCCTCTCTGATTTGAGATTGCTGATGTGGGCCTCGTGGGTGTCCTTCGGGAGTCCTCCCTCCTCCTCCTCCTCCCTCCTCCTCCTCCTCCTCCTCCTCCTCCTCCTCCTCCCTCCTCCTCCTCCTCCTCCTCCTCCTCCTCCTCCTCCTCCTCCTCCTCCTCCCTCCTCCTCCTCCTCCTCCTCCTCCTCGCGCCACGTCCCAAGCAATCCTGGACCTGGGTCCCGCTGCCTCTGGCGCGCATCCATGACCGGAGGCTCCAAGTGGACCCGAGGACGCTCCCCTCGGGGCCCCGCGGCACGTCGAAGGCTTTTCGAAGGGGCCGCATGCGAACCCTACCTATGTAGTACCCCCACACGATTTCTGAGGGGGAGGGCGGGGTTCGCTTCGGAAGCTGCCGAGCGACGCGAACCCCGCCCTCCACCTCAGAACTCGTGGGGGGGGGGGCATGAAACCAAAACCGCCCCAAGTGGCACCCAGAACATCTGCATCTGGCACCTCGATTTTGTCCGTTGGCTTCGACGCAGCGAAGCCTTGAGCCGATGAGGACGCAGCTTTCTTGGACAGAACCCTGACGACATCTTGGGACCATAAGGGTCATCTTGAAGCCATGAGGATCGCCAGGGCCCCTCTCTTGGGCCGTCTTGGGGCCATCGTGGGCCGTCTTGGGACCCTCTTGGGGGCCTCTTGGGCCGTCTCGGAACGAGCTTTCGGGCCTCTTGGGCCGTTCTTGGCCCGAAGAAGCGACAAATAATAGGATTACGACTACACCTACCACTACTACTATGCTACTACTATCACTATACGCATGCAATGCGGCGATTACTCGTACCATCACCGCGAATATGACATTATTGTGTTGACGTGGCCTGACATCGCCGCATAATCCAACAGCCATCACCATCTTTTGCGTGGCCTTCATATCCATTCATTCCCATCATCATCAACGCTGGCATCATCATGACTTGCATAGCCTTCAATATCACCTCGCGCCACATAGATATATCGCGCCACATATATTGCACCGCGGAGCTTACACTACAGGCTCACGCCGCACTGCTTGCACCACGTCGATTGTAGTAGATACCACATCCACTGCTTACTGACTCAGTGGCCGACGCTGGTACATGCACACTATATGTGCATGCGCGCACGCCCATCTCGTCATGCCGACGTTCACCATCACACGTCGCCCCAGGCCCAGTCAGCAGGGAACGTCCCGTCGACATCCCGCTGCCATCATCGTGGCCTGTCTTCACCATCACCTCCGTCCATAGCTGCCCCATCAAAGCGCATGTGTGTTGCAGCACCAGGCTTCCCGGGGAGGTAATCCAAGGAGCCTGACCCCCCGGGGGGGGGGGGGGTCGGGCTCATGGGACTACCTCTCCGGGAAGCCTGCTGTCGCAACACATGCGCTTTGATGGGACAACAGCTATTGACAGACGTGATGGTAAGTCATGATGATGGCAGCGCCGATGATGATGGGAATGAATGGAAGACTTCGTCGTCGTCGCGTCCAGAGTCAACAAAAAAGGCCCGACGCCGCCCTCCCCCGGGAGATTCCGGCGGGCGTCTCTCAACGAAGGCGACTTGCTCATTGGACACGGCCGGTGTACAATGAGCAACCCGGGATTCCCGGGGCCTCGGAAGCTCAATTCCGGCTTGGGCAGGGCCTCGGTGGCCTCCCGGGGTCCAATTTCGCTTTGGGCCGCCGCCTGAGGGGGGTTCCCAGGGTCCAATTCCGGCTTGGGCCGCTCCTGAGGAGCCTTCCCGGGGCCCAATTCCGGCTTGGGCCGCCGGTTCCCGTGAAACGTATGCCTGCTGGCCGCCATCTTCCGAGATTGGTCACACCTGGGACCATTATGGTCAGGTGTGATCAGGTCCCGGCCTCTGGCGTCTTGACGTTCCCCGCCGTTGCGGCGAGTCTCTGAGACCTGCCCGGAGACCCCCGGGCCGGGCCCCCCGCAGGCATGGCCCAAGATGGCGGGATGACCCCAGCGCGGCATCGCGGCCCAAGATGGCCCCAAGACGGCCCAAGAGAGGGGCCCTGGCGATCCTCATGGCTCCAAGATGACCCCTATGGTCCCAAGATATCGTCAGGGTTCTGTCCAAGAAAGCTGCGCCCTCATCGGCTCAAGGCTTCGCTGCGTCGAAGCCAACGGACAAATTCGAGGTGCCAGATGCAAATGTTCTAGGTGCCACTTAGGGCGGTTTTGTTTTTATGGGGCAGGGTTCGCATGTGGCCCCCAATTCTCCGCACAGGCTCTGCGATTGCAGTTGGGTTGAGTGGATGAGCCGGCTGGGCGAGGGCGGGCGGTGGCTCCTCGCCCCTGGGACGGGGGGGGATAGCCGGGAGAAGCACGAGAGGGAGAAGGACTGGGCAGAGGAAGGAGGAGCGAAGGGGGTGGGCAGAGTGGGGCAGGGCTGTACCTAAACGGTGTGTTTGGTGATTTCGTGAGCTGTTTTCGTTTCGATGTCGTTTTGCTGCAAAGGCGGATTCGTTCTGCGGCAAAGGCGGTGGCTCTTCGTCCCTGGGACGGGGGGGGTTCAGGAGGGAGCAAAAACACACAGACACAATTCATCGTCGATTCCCCTGAAAATACGGGAAAACATGGGAAGTGGTGGGGGAGACAAAAACCTAGAGAATATGTGAAGATACGGGGAATCCTGTTATTTGTGTGTATTTATTCGTGTGTCCCAGGGCCTCTTCAGGGATAGCCAGGAGGAGCACGAGAGGGAGAAGGGCTGGTCAGAGGAAGGAGGAGGGGAGGGGCCTGGGCAGAGCGGGGGGAGGGGAGAAAAGGACTGGATTGCAGACCCAGGCGCGCAGGCATGCGGAACGATGGAGAGGCAGAGGTCAGGAGGGGAACAAAACATAGACACCATTGACCGTCGATTCCCCAGAAAATGTGGAAACTATGGGAATTGGGGGGGAGAAGACAGAAACCCAGCAAATATATGAAGAAATATGGGGAACCTGGTTATTTGTGTCTATTTATTTGTGTGTCCCAGTTCCCCTTCAAGAGGGAGGGGTCGGAAATAGGGATGGAGGAGAGGCAGCGAGGCGGGATGGGGAACGACGGAGGGGACGTAGTCTGACGAGTGGAATGTCTCAGAAGACGCTGGTCGTCCACAGGTTGCAGTTCCAGGAGTTGTCCGGTCCCATCGTTTGGCGTACAGTTGGCACGGGTGGCAGGTTCTACCAGGGGGGAGGGGCAGCAGCAGCAGCAGGGAGAGGCGGAGGAGGGGACATGATTGAGGCGGCAACGGCGAGAATGACATTGGATCCAGAAAAGCGGTCCGCGTTCGGGCGAGGGCGCAAATCCGAACGACGGAAGCAAAGCACCTATCTTAAAAGGTGGCCACTGCTCAGCGAGAGAACCTCTTTCAATGATCCCATGGCGTTCCGATTGGAGTTCGAAATCAACCAACAGTGAGTGACACGTGTGTGTGTGTGTGTGAGCGCGTGGAAACGCAAGTAACGCGGGAGGGGCAGGAGCCCGTAATGATGTTGCCAGATGTCTGAGGAGAGTATTCAGTACTTTTGGTAAAGAGCTGAAGAGTTCTATGGACAGTGCGGGGGAGAGGCTGGGTGGGGGGGGGGGGGGGGAGCGGGAGGTCCAGAAAAGGGGGGGGCAGGTAAATATTGAGGAGGGGGGGGAGGGAGGGAGGTTCAGGAAGGCGGGGAGGGAGGTTCAGGCGGGGGGGAGGGAGGGAGGTTCAGGAGGGGGTGAGCGGGAGGTTAAGGAGGGAGGAACAGCAACAAGAGGCGGGAGGTAAATATTGAGGAGGGGGGGCCTCCCAGCAAGCGACTCCTTGAATGTCAGGGGGTTGCAGCTCCAGGGGCGCCTTCGTGCGTCGACGCTGTCTCCGAAACAGGGCGTTTCAAAGACGGCCCAGTCGCACAGTCGCCGAGGAATCGAGAAGCTGGCCTCTCGCCCTGAGACTGGCGGCAAGCTGGAGGAAACTGGCCAGACCCACCCGGACCTCCGCCGCCGTGCCCGTGCTGTGCTGACCACGCGGTCCCCCCGAGCCCTCGACCCCTTCCCGAGGACTGGTCTTCCGCCCAGGAGGTTGTTGAGAGGATCGAAGATCGACCCTCGTTGGTCGACGATCGAGGATCGAGGGTCGACGATCGTCGGCCGAGGCTCCTCGGTCGACGAGCGAGGGTCGACGATCGAGGGTCGACAGTCGATGGCGATCAGGAGTCGACGACCGCGGGGCGAGGCCCCTGCGGTCCCGGGGCGCGAGACGACTCGGGACACCCCAATCGTGCAGTTTTCCTCTTCCTCCTCCTCCTCCTCCTCCTCCTCTTCCTCCTCCTCCTCCTGCTCCTCCTCCTCCTCCTCCTCCTCCTCTTCCTCCTCCTCCTCCTCCGGAGCCACGAAGCACGTGAGGGGTGTGCAAGCATGGGCGGGGCACCGCATGTGGCCGCACAGCATGCGAGGTGTGTGTGTGCCGACATGGGCGTGGACACGCATCTATGAGGCCGCGGCACGTTCGAGGGGTGTGCCGAAATGGGTGCGGCGGTGGCATGCCAGCGCAGCCACTGGGCCTTCGGTGGAGCTTCCTATGGTGCCACGAAGCGTGTGAGGGATGTGCCTGAATGTGGGCGGTGGTGGCGTGTAAGCGCAGCCATAGGGGCCTTCGGTGGAGTTCTCCATGGCGCCACGAAGCGTGTGAGGGGAGTACGGACATGGGTGCGGTGTCGCCATGCGAGCGCAGCCACTGGGGGCTTTCGGTGGAGGTTCCCACGATGCCACAAAACGTGTGCGGTGTGTGCCGAAATTCACGCGGTGGAGCCATGCCCAGCCACTGGGGCCTCAGGTGGAGCTGTCCATGGCGCCACGAAGCGTGTGGTGTGCGTGTGTGCTGACATGGGCGCGGTGGTGCCATGCGAGCGCAGCCACTGGGGCCTTCGGTGAAGCTCCCTATGGCGTCACGCAGCATGTGAGGGGTGTGCCGATGTTTGTGCGGTGGTGCCATGCAAGCGCAGCCACTGGGGCCTTCCGTGGGGCTCCCTACGGGGCCACGAAGCACCTCAGGGGTGTTTCGAAATGTGCGCGGTGGTGGCATGCACACGCAACCAATGGTGCCGTCGGTGTGCTCCGCTATGGGGCCACGAAACGTGTGAGGTGTCTGCCGAACTGATGTTCGCCAGGATGGTGATGGTCCTGACGGTGATGATGGTAATTCGGATTTACGGAGAGCAGACGCACAGATGGAAGGAGGGAGTGGGAGGAGGGCAGCGGAAGGAGTGCGGACGCAGAGCGTTGTCTATTCAAAACGAGGACCCAAATACCACAAGTTGGTTGGGAAGAAGGCGCCCGGCATTATACCCTAAGCAGCAAACTATACGAGTCATTGATATGAGCGGTACACATGCTAGGGGAGGCCACGGGAGACCACCGGGGACCACGTGAGGCCACGGGAGACCACGGGAGACCAATGCGACCGACCGGTTCCAAATCCAGCGATCCCCGCATTCGGCAATCAGGACCCATACAGACAAGCTGTTCACGGAACATTCGCTGAGTTGCCTGGAGAGGGCACACATTCTGTATTTTGTCAGGCCGCGAATGGCGCTTCATGCCGCCTCCGTAGCCTCAACCCCATGTTCCGCTCACCCACGACGTTGGGCTCCGCCATCACCTGAGACACTTCCCCCCCTCCCCTCACTAATTTTTTCTTTGGTTGTTTGATTCCAAGAGAAGCTCCCAAAGGAGGTCCAGGAGCGCGGCGCGGGGGCGCCCCCGGGTCAGCCTGGAAGGGCATCCACGACGGCAGGGGGCCTTTGGATGCCGTCAGTGAGTAAGTAACGTTTCATTGAGGCTTAAAGTTTTACTTGCGCCCCGCTGCGTAAGTAGAGCTTTGCTTACGCTGCTTGAAGTAGTTGTGGTAATTGTGGTTAGCGGGATGCCGCAAGCAGCATTATCTGTACGCACCCTGCGTAGATAACGTCTTGTCTACGCTTATAGCTGCGGTAATCGGCGTCATGCAGATTTCGCTCGATGCATCCTAACTGTTGGCATGGATGTTGACACCTACTACCGCTACATGATTGTGGAGCGTCAGTAAAGTTTGACTTAAGCCGTCCCTTGATCACAAGTGCCGCATTACCGCAAGTACCGCACTTAAGCGCAACAAAACAATTACTTACGCAGGGGGGCGTAAGCTCATGTTCTACTTGCGCAGTAGGGCCTCAGTGAAGCTTTACTTCCGCACTGGCGTCATCCAGAAGGCCCCCTGGGCGAAACGGCCACACCTACCCTAGGAGCTATGAAGCGTCGCTTGCGCGAGGATTGGCGCAAGGAAACTGTTATTTACGCCGCCCCCTAACCACAATTACCACGCGAGTCAGATTTTCCCTGCCCGAAAAAGCAGCGACCGCCCCGCTCCGTCCCAGCCGGGCCTGTATAGCCGTGGCGGCGTCGAGGTTGGCGGCCTGCAGCTTGGCGCAGAGGTCATCGCCAAGGTCGCGCGCGGGCATGAAGTCAGGCAGGTCGCGTATAGCGTATACCGTGCATGGCCGTTGAGTCTCGGATGTGGTTCTCGACGTCTTGGAAGGCGCGCACTGCTTCGGCGTCTGCATGCCAAGAAGATGACGCGGCTCTCGTCCTGCGTAATGCAGCGCATTCTGGGGAACCGACGGTTGAGGCCCAACATCCTACATCGGGCACGACGGCATGCGCGGTTGCTGGCGTTGCTTATTGCGTTGTTGTTGCATGCCGTCGCGGGAGGTTAATATTGGATAGCCTGGTAATTCTGGAGAGGCAGTTTTGCGGCAGCGCGTTTGTGAGACCTCCAGGCAGTTCAAAACACCTTCGTTTTGCTCGTTCGGTCGATCGGAGGTCTGGGCGCATCTCCTTCTCTACGGTACCCTTTCTCTTCGCACGCCCCCCGGGGCGGTCAGGACTTGCACGACTCCTGCGTGGGGAGCGGGCAGGATTACCTGGACCTCCGCCGCGGCGCCACCGGCCCCTTCCAGAAGCGGGGTCCCTGTTCAAGGAGGAGGCAGCGGAGGAGAAGGAGGAGGTTGACGGGCCAGCGGGAGAGCACCAATGTCGCAATGTCGATTGCTCGGGGGGGAGGCGGCGCAGGAGGATGAGGGATCGGTGGAAGACGGGAAATGTCGGCTGCTCGGAAGGAGGCGGCGGAGGAGAAGGAGGAGAAGTTGGTGGATGGGCGGGTCGACCTGGATGCTCCACGCGAGGCGTGCAAAAAGAAAGTTCGGCGAGCGCCCCGCAGCATGGACGCTGCTAGCATCCCTCGCGTTGGACCCAAACGCAGGTCAGAGTCTCACAATTCTTCCACTCGATGTCTCATGGTCCCATAGTTGGGTAATGCAGGTAGACAGGGAAGGCGGAGGAGGAGGAGGGCACCCTTTCCAAGATGATGAGGAGGAGGTCGGCAGGAAAGAAGGAAGAGGAGAAGGAGGACGTAAGATGCCGATGAGGAGGATGAAACTCGTGATAATTAAGTCGAAGGGTGGGGCACGCAACCGCCGTTTGCGCCCCCACTTCCTTCGGGCAGGAATCGCCATAGGGGTCCGAGGCGGATGAGCGCGTCCGTGGGAATAGATTCTGCAGCGGTCGCCTCTGCCTTGTGCATTTAGAGTATAGTTGGAATTATCATCGCACTCCAGGGCTAGGAGGAGGGGAGCACAGGCGGGTAGGTAGTTAGGTGCCCTCCCGTAGAGGATTGTATGTTGGGCCCCTGCCGCCGTAGGAGGGGCAGGTCAAGGTCGAGCAGGCAGCAAGCGGAGGATCGGAGTTGGGGAGCCGCCCACCAGGACCAAGCAGAAGAGGGCATGCTTTGTCGTTCGCTGAAGTTAATGTCTCATGGATGTCGTTTCGTGCTTGCGTGTCCTCCCGGCTGTTTATCCCACCATTCCGTTCCGAGATTCGGTCTTTCCTGCGGTGGTTTGGAGGTACTGCTTGTCACAGGGGTCGACTTCAACTTTGTTTGGGCGATTTCGTAGATCGTTTGTGTTTTGATTCCGTTGTGCAGCAAAGGCGGGTTGGAGAGGGAACACGAAAACGAAACGATAACGAAAGACGCTGTCGAGCCATGGTTTGTTTGAGACCATTTCTTTATTGCTTGGGGCATGACGGGCGTCATGGCCTCCGCTCCCCCCCCCTCCCCGCCCTTTGACGTATCGTTCCCTCACCCGTGCGCTCCGGGCTCTGCCGCCGTGCACGCTGGGATCCGCGTAGGTGTCCGCGTAAGAATCCGCATAAGAGTCTGGTCCGCAGTCGTCGTCGTCGTCGTCGTCGTCGTCGTCGTCGTCGTCGTCGTCGTCGTCGTCGTCGTCGTCGTCGTCGTCGTCATCACTCGTGGCTCGTCGCTCATCGTCGTCGTGCGCACGGACGCGCCTTGAGCCTGTTATTTGTTCCGGGCCGATCGCGGCAATCATCTGAGGGGGTGTGGAGGGGGTCGATGACATCATGTTTCGCGCTGGCGGCGTCTGGGAATGCGTAGGAATGACGGAGGACGGGTAGCACCAGCATGTAGGTGGCGATCTGCACCACAACGCCTGTGTACACCACAGTGCCTGCGTGCACCACAGCGCGTGTGTACACCACACCGCCTATGTACACCACAGTTTGTGCCATCGTGCTCGCGGGCTACACCACATCAGCCGTGTGCAACACAGCACCATTGTACACCATAATGCCTGCGTGCATTGCAGCGCCTGTGTGCATCACGGTGCCTGCGTGCATCACAGCAACCGTGTGCAACACAGCGCCGCACTTGCATATCGAATGTTAGAAGGAACCCGTATGACAAAATGGAGCGCTTGTGGATTCCACAAAACACAATACAAAGGAATCCTTATGGACAAAGGAGCGCCGCTGGAATCTACGAGTTCCCCCGAGTCCGCCCGCATCACCCTAACTTCTCCCATCTGCGTTCAGGAGGCTCCAGCGAAATTGGCCGTGCGAGAACCAAGTGGACCGATTCAATAGACCATTATGCGGTTCACTGCGCGCTGAATTGCGCACGTGCGCTGTAGCGCCGCCCCGCACGACAGGCGGTAGGAGGAGAAAAAAAGGACGAGGAGGAAGAGGAGGAGGAGGAGGTGGAGGTGGAGGTGGAGGTAGAGGAGGAAGGAAAAGGGAAGAACGTCGCATCCGATTATCAGCACTGTCCCGCACGCAGGCACTGGTGTACAGTCGCGCTGCGTTGCACGCGGATGCTGTGGTGTAGACAGGCGTTGTGGCGTGCACAGGCGCTGCGGTGCACGCACGCACTGAGGTGTACACAGGCGCTCTGTTGCACATGGTTGCTGCGGTGTACACATGTACACCGGCGCTGTAGTGTACGCAAGCACTGGTGTACACAGGCGTTGCGTTGCACACGTATCTTGCGGTGTACGCAGGTGTTGTGGTGTTCGCGCGCGTTGTGGTGCACGCGAGCGATATGTACAAAGGCGCAGTGGGGCATATCGCCACCTACATTTTGCTCGCGTCGTCTTCGTCGTCGTAGTCGTCGTCATCGTCGCTCGTCGCTCGTCGCGTCGTGCGCGCGAGCGCGGCTGTGGTGCCAGAACCACACGGCGGGGGGGGGGGGGCGTTATGTCATACCCCCCCCCGCCCCCCCCCCCATGACGCCCGTCATCGCCGAGCATAAAGAAACGCTCTCTTTGTGTGTGCAGGCAGGCGAGGGGCAGCACGGGGCGCCGTGATCCTCGGTGAAGCAGCGCGCCGCCCCAGATCCTGGCCAGCACAGCTTCGTACTCGCTCCGCTGCGCGCACCGGCAGGACAACATGAGGCAGTCCATCGACAGCATCACGAAGAACTTCCAGTTCAGATGAGACTCTCCGGGCGCGTTCCACTACGCGCACAGTGCCTCCTCGCAAATGCCCAGACACCCCCAAGTAAAACACCCCGATGTAATGGAGCGCACATCCCCCGCGGCGGATTCAGGCCATCTGCGAGCAGCTACTCTGCGACTAGTGGAACGCGCTTGTCGAGAGACGGGAATTCGAGGGGACCAGCAGCAGACCGCTCCCCGGCGACCGTTCTGCGCAGCTCTGGGGGAAGCGCAGGTCCGGCAGGAGGGGCACCAGAGGCGCTCGGGGCGCGGTGAGCTCTCTCCAGTCTGAGTCGTCTTGGGCTCCTTCTCGAGCGCTGCCGAGACCTCCTCACCATCTCCGTACACTCAGAGGTGGTCGTGCCCCGTGGTGTTCCCAGGGTTTCCAGCCAGGCTCTGGAGGCCCCAAGCGGATCTGGGCGAAGCCCAGAAGGGACGCCCGAGGCTCCAAGCTGGCCGGGAAACTAGGGAGACTTCAGTCCAGAGACACTTCTGCCATCAAAACGCCAACTCCTGGCACACACACACACACACACATCGATCCGTATATCACTCTCGTCTCTTTGTTGTGTGTTCCCTCTCTGTCTCTCATTATCTCTCCCTCTCTCTTGTTCTGTCTTTCTCTCCCTATCTCTCTCTCACTCTCTGTCTCTGTCTCCATCTCTCTCTCTCTCTGTTCCTCTTTTTGTTATTGTTCTCTCACTCTCTCTCACTCTGTGTCTCTTTCTTGCGGTCGCCTCAGGGCGTGTTTACCATCTTTGGGCGATTGCGAGGGCCTCTCTGGCCGCCTTCGAGCATCGGAAGCCCGAAACGACGAGAACGTCAGAAACTCCGAAAAAACTTCTAGGGATCAATGTCTTTGGCTCGCGAGACCCTCTTGGCGACGCTCTTGAGGCTCTTTGGGGGCGTCTTGGCATTTTGGGGGGATCGCTCTGAAGTCATCTTGGGGTTAATGGGGCGACCATCAACATCATCGCCAGCATCATCATCATCATCATCATCATCATCATCATCATCATCATCATCATCATCATCATCAGCACACACACTCGTTCAAAACCATCAGCACACACACACTCACACCCTCTTTCCCACCTCATCATCATTACTCACAATCATAATCAACAAATTTCCACTCACCATCACACACCATCACCATCTCCACCATCACACGTTCATCACCTCACCATCCCATCGTGATCATCGGCAAAGTGGGAGCCTCGTCTGTAAGTTAAATGTGAGGAAGTCTCAGGCGGGGGCCCCCTCCCTATGAAGTCCTCACTTCATGTTGGCAACCCCAGCCGGTCATCGGAACCTGGTAACTGTCTTCACTTTTCGGCTCCTCTGGATTGAGTATGGAGGAACTCTCAGGCGGGAGCTTCGTCTGGGAGTGAATTGCAAGGAAGTCTCAGGCGGGAACCCCTCCGTATGGGGTCCGCATTTCAAGTTGGTAATCCCAGCGGGTCATTGCATCCATGTAACTGTCTTCACTTGTCGGCCCTGGTTTGAATATGAAAGAAATGTCTCACGCGGGATCTTCGTCTGTGAGTGAATTGCGAGGAAGTCTCAGGCGTGAGCCCCCTCCGTGTGGGGTCCGCATTTCAAGTTGGTAATCCGAGCGGGTCATCGGAGACGTGACTGTCTTCATGTTTGAGCTCCTCTAGACTGAATATGAAGGAAGTCTCGGGCGGGAGCTTCGTTTGGGAGTGAATTGCGAGGAGTCTCAGTCGGGACCGTGACTGTCTTCATTTTTGAGCTCCTCTGGATTGCATGTGGAAGAAGGCTCAGACAGGATTTTTGTCTGTGAGTGAATCGCGGGGAAGTCTCAGGCGAGATCCCCCTCTATATTGGGTCCGCATTTCATGTTGGCAGTCCGAGTGGGTCACCAGAACCTTGAAGTGTCGTTATTTTTCGGTTCCTTTGGACTGAATGTAGAGGAAGTCTCAGGCGGGAGCTTCGTCTGTGAGTGAACGTGCGGGGGAGTCTCAGGCGGGAGCCCCCTCCCTATGGGGTCCGCATTTCGTGTTGGTAACCCGAGCGGGTCATCGGAAACTTTTAGTTGCCGTTTTTGTTTTGATTCTTCTGGGTTGAATATGAAACATGTCTCAGGCGGGAGCTTCGTCTGTGAGCGTATTGCGAGGAAGTCTCCGGCGGGCGCCCCCTCCTTATGGGATCCGCTTTCCATGTTGGCAAGCCGATTTGGTCATTGGATCCCTGTAGCTGTCAGCCTTTTTTCGGCTCCTCTGGATCGAATGTGGAGGAAGTTACAGGAGGGAACTTCGTCTGCGAGTGAATTGCGAGGACGTCTCAGGCGGAGTCCCCCCCGTATGGGCTCTGCATCTCGTGTTGGCAATTCAAGCGGGTCACTGGGTCATTGTAACTGTCTTTATTTTTCGGCTCCTCTGGATTGAATCTCGAGGAAGTGTCAGGCAGGAGCTTCGTCTGTGCGATAAGTGCGGGGAGGTTTCAGGCGAGATCCTCCTCCGTATGGGGTCCGCATTTCATGCCAGTCCGAGTGGGTCACCGGAACCTTGTAAGCGTCGTTGCTTTCCGGCTCATCTGGATTGATTATGGAACAAATGTCTCAGGCGGGAGCGTCTGTAAGTGAATTGCGAGGAAGTCTCAAGCGGAAACCTCCCCCGTATGTGGTCCGCATTTCGTGTTGGCATTCCGAGCGGGTCACTGTAAACCTGTAACAGTCGTAAGTTTTCGTCTCATTTGGATTAGCCCTTCCCGTATGGGGTCTGCATTTCATGTTGGTAATTCAAGCGGGTCATTGGAAACCTGTCACGTTCATAACTTTTCGGTTCATATGGACTCGAATACAAACAAAGTCTCAGGCGGAAGCTTCGTCTGTGAGTAAATTGCGAGGAAGTCTCATGCGGGAACCCCCTCCGTATGGGGTCCGCATTTCATGGTAATCCGAGCGTGTCATCAGAACTTTGTAGCCGTCGTTACTTTTCGGCTCCTCTGGATCAAATATGAAGGAAGTCTCATGCGGGAGCTTCTTCTGTAAGTGACTTGCGAGGAAGTCTCAGGCGGGAACCCCCTCCGTATGGGGTCTGCATTTCGTGTTGGCAATTCGAGCGGGTCACTGGATCATTGTAACTGTCTTCATTTTTCGGCTCCTCTGGGTTGAATATGGAGGCAGTCTAATACGGGGGTCGTCTGTGATTGGATAGCGAAGACATCTGAGGCGGGAGCCCCTTCTGTATGGGGTCAGCATTTCACGCTGGTAATCCGAGCGGGCCACCGGAACCTTGTCAATGTTCGGCTCCTCTGGATCGAATTTGGAGGAAGTCTCAGGCGGGAGCTTCGTCTGTGAGTGAATTGCGAGGAAGTTTCAAGTGGGACCCCCCCACTTGTCACAACTCGTTCGCGGATTTCGACAAGAGATCAGTGGACTCCAGGGCTGAGGCGGAACAGGTCGCGGCAAAGCGAAACTTCGTGCTGTCTCCTTCCTGGGCGCGGCCGCGACTAACTCGGTGCCTACGGGGTTGTCCCAACGGCTTGCTCTCGCGCCCCAGCGGCTCGCGGGGTTGTCCCAACGGCCGTTGCCCCGACGGCTTCGTGATTCAGCCATCGGGGAACGCGCCCCTGCTGGGCGTGGCGGCGAAGGCGCCGCGGAAATCGGCATAGGTCCTGCTTGGCGGAAGGGGGCGTGCACGAGGAGAGCAGGCGCGATGGAGATGAGGGGGGGGAAGGAAGAGCAGGAGGAAGAGAAGGAGGAGGAGGAGGAAAAGGACGAGGAGGAATAGGAGGAATTCAACCAGGAGGGCGGTCAGGAGGAGGACGCGGGGAACGAGGAAAACAAGGAGGATGAGGAGGAGGCTTAACAGAGGGCGAGAGGGGGGGGGGGGGGGCTTCAGTCAGGGCGAAACGGAACGAGTGAAAAACGATCGACATGTATTATCATGTGGTCCCTACCGTCGGAGTACTTTGGGGACCGCTTGGAGGCCATCTTGGGGGTCTGGGGGCGTTCCTGGGGCGACTCGGGGCCTTCATGGATTGCCCTGGGGGCCTCGATTGCCCGCTTGGCCCGATTCGGGGCCCGTCTGCTTCCAGAAAAGGTCACGCGATAACGCTCGCCAACGCACGCTAAGACTTGGGCGTGCACGGAATCCAGGGCCGCGGGCTTATTGAATAGTGTCACAGGATCTGTTCACGACAAATAAACATCCTAAGGGAACTGAGGGCACTGTACTTCGAGCCTCTGGGCACAGCTTCGGAGATACATATACGCAGCATGCAATGAACAGACAGCATGCGTGCAATGAGCAGCATATACGGAGCATACCCGCATCATACATGCATACGTAAATACACATACGTACATACATATGTACAGACAAACGCACATGCATCACACATACATGCCTATACACAAACACAACACATGAATCCATACATACATACATACAAACAGTCGTACACGTACACGTACATACAGTTTTACATACTCATATAAATACACACATACATGTTTTCACACATACATGCGTACACACATATACATTTAGCATCTATGCAAAATTGCATGCACGTATGCACGCATACATTTGTACACCTATACATACATACATCTACATACGTGCATCCATACATGTACACATGTATACATATATGCACGCATTCGTGCAAGTGCACGTAAAACCATAACTACAGAATCGCATGGCGCATGCATACATACATGCACGCATACATACGTCACACGCATACACATGTGTATGCAGACATGCGTACACACATGGATGCACACATGCATACGTACCTAGACGTGCACGTACACAGGTGCATCTACATATGCATGCACATGTACATACACAGATGTACGCATATATACACATTGTTTCACACGCACGTGTGCCATTACATATGAATATACATGTGCCTATACATGCACACCTACGTGCATGCATGCGTACACACATAAAAACATAGTTGTATATATATAGATGTATATACATATATATTTATACATATATATATATGCATACACAT